GCGCATACGACCTTGTCTGCATGTTACGCGCTCACTATTTCGTGCCTTCACGTTACAAATCTGGAGTGAGACAAAGTAATTAGAGTGATACAATGTTGACATTGTCTCACTGATGAGCGAATTGGTCACTTTGCTTTCTCAAATCAGTGAGAGAACATGTACATTGTTAGGTAACTGTAGGGAAAATAAACCCTAGAACTAGTGTTTTCTATGTTTTTCCTATTTCATGAGCAAAATTTTATGTGACATGCTCGAGAGAGGTCACAAAGTATTACGGAAGTTGGTTTCTTAGACTGGAACGCATCAACAATTAATTGTACAATAAAATCAACAGCCAATATGGTGGATTTGGCTTTCCTGAAGCCAAATTAACCAGTCACCAGAAGTCATGTGCTTCAAGGTGGTCGTACAATTGAGCAAACATAATAGCTAAACACAGTTCAAAAACACAGGAATCAACTTTATTGGACGATGACTGGTAACATTGTCACGGGACCCTTTTTTATTAAGAGGTACAGCTCTAAAGACTTTTTCAATGGAGCATGAATATTACCTACTAAAAAGCATACATTGACCAAATGGGCTAGTATAGGTGTCGTGCCATACACATCTTTGCTTGCCGTCAATGCTTTGATTTCATCAAACCATAAATGTGCATTCAGTTCTAGATATTGCATATGTTTAAATTCTGCCTCCTCACTGAAGACTCTGAAGGATACCACTTTTGATGGCACGAATGTTGATGTTAATCAACATTCGGAGCAGTCACCGAAAGCAGAACATGCTTAAGATCCACAATCATGTCCACACTTACCGCAGCCACGTAGTTCCATCCGTCCAAATTGGTTAGAAAATTTTCCAAAGATTCAGGACCCCTAGTTGATTTGATGATTGAAGGAAATATATAACAGTTGGTATCGTATTTACAACGTCAGAAGTGTGGTTGTCAGAGCCAAGAAAATTTATATTATGATTAGTTATAAACACTACAAAGCTTATAAGGTAACTTAGACAAAGTTCAAGTAATTCAAAAATCTACATACATTACCACTAGGAGAGTGATACATGCTTATTACCACCATTAAAAGACTAGACAGCACTGCGCTTTCAAATTCAACCTGGAGATTCTCAGAGAATCCACTTAAGCCAAAAGGTTTATAAATTATCTGTAAGTTTGTTACTGAGATACACAGCCACCCCAATAGTAACTCACTGCCTGCAATGGTATGCTGTTAGTTTTTAAACATTACTTGTATTGTGCAACTGAATTTCATCACTTATATTTTTTATATTTCATCAACATCGGATCTTTACTAGAGTTATCGTTCTGACGGTATTTTCCTATATTGTATGTAGGAATTTAGATAGATGGTGTTTTTAGCCTCTGGATAAATCAAAACGAAAATGCAAAGTGGCCACGGGTCTAGGACAATCATTATTATTTATCAATATCAATATTGATACCTACGGTAATTACTTTATTTCCTACATAGAAAATTTGCTCAAATGTATACGTATTAAACAAAAAAGATTTAGACCTAATTTTATCTTACTAATATTATAAATGCGAAAGTTTGTGTGTTTGTTCGTTTGTTTATTTGTTTGTTTGTTTGAAGTTCAATCACACATTAAATACTGGTCGGATTGGGCTGAAATTTGGTATGATGATAGATCACGTTCCCAATTAGCATATAGACATATTCTTGTCTCAAAACCCCTTTAGGGCTCTGCCCCAGTGGCTCTAAAGTTTCCCATGTTAACCTTATGAGCATTCATATTTTAAAGGATTTAAAGACTTTAGTCAGCTGTTTCAACGACAAAAGTTGGTTCTATGATATTCAATAGCATTATAAAGTTATAAAGTTTGCCAACAGGGTGCAGCACTATTAACGTTTTTGAATTAATGACAACAGTTAATTTGAACCAAGCAGAAAACAAAAAGATGTGATACACAAAGAGAACTTTTCTTTTTTCTATTGTTTAGGTGCAGTGGTAGAACATATTATAGCTATGGGATATGTGCTATACTATAGTATACCGTAAAATAAAAGAACAAAATTTTCTTAAACCGTGTCCCCTCCCATTGCAAACGCAAATACGAGTATAGCTGCAATAACAATTTCATGCTTATACGCCAACCCTGTACGAAGGACGGGTACTCTGCTATTTGCTTAATAATCCTCTAATCGTAAACAGAGTTCACAGGTTATGAATTTTCATCCATAAATAAATACTTCTAAATTTAAAGAAAAGAGTCACACATATGAAATTACACAACCAAATATACAAAAAAAGAAAAAGAGTTTCATGCAAAACTAAACTAATTAACTATAACTAATTAACTATACATGTGTCAAAGGTTGTTCCTATCTATTTAGTCCTGGAATTAGCAGACATAGGATGTGCCTGTGCGTCTGCTAAGTTGCTATAAAGATTAAATGAAATTAAGTGGTGCAATTTAGTTTTATTACATGTGTATGAGTGGAAAGTATATTTAAATGACTTTCAGCAGTTAAGAAATATTAATGCAATAAGTGACAGTACTCTACAACGAAAAAAACATGCATCATCCAACAATAGAAGCGTCGGAGAGAGAGCGGCTAGGTACAGTTCAGTTCAACAGAAAACAGATAACCCATGATATAGGCTTTGCTGATCGGATGATGATCGGATGATCGGATTAGTTTGTCATTTACATCGTATTGGATACAGTTTTATCGTGATAAATATATGAACAATTCGTAGGGTTAAAATATTCTACAAACTATTTTAAGCAGCACTTTTTGATTTATAATGAAAAATCGTGTTCATACTGATAATAATGGTTGTATATGTTCATTCATTTTATTTCGAAAAATTGGTGAAATCCAAATTGCATTTCCATGGCTTGTAACTGTCATCTTTTATTTTTAATATAAAAAAAATGATTGCTAGTGCATATAAAAACTCGTGTACAGTAATACGAATAGTAAGAGAATTACAACGTTCTGAGGTAATAGTTTTTACCAGAACGCAGAAAACCGTTGAACTGCTACACGAATCACCAGCGAGTGTGTTTACATTATATTACCATTACTTTCACAGTCCGCCGGTCTCGACCGCTGTGCTTCAATTGTTTCAACATTTTACGGTTCTAAGCTTTTCTCTCGATTTTGTACTCAATGATGAATTAAATTTGCTTTTAATTGTATTTTTTAACGTGTTGGTGTACTAGCCAAAACAGTCTTGGACTAGTTATTTTGTAAAGCTATGAAAAGCTTCATTAAACAGAGAATTTGGTGCAAATTATTATTAACTGCTTTCTGTACTATTATTAATTAATTGTTAACATGGTTATAATTTTGTTAAATGTTGTATATCAATAAAAGTTATATGGATTCAGAATAAAAAGCTATGCAATAAATGAATGTTAAATCAGTATTAATGGTTTGCATAGTGAATTGATAATTTTCTTTAGTCTGGTAGAAATCGTTTAAAATTAACGATGTCGGGGAGACGACAAACAATGTAATTTTTTAGCTTCTTCGCATAAACATATTCTGAAAACGATATTCTTTGAATTAATCTTACTTATTGATCTCATTTACCTAACTTAATGGAATTTTATTCAATGATAATGAAAAGAAAGAAATTTAGTGCAGTCTGAGACACGATATTTAAAATTTTAATCTAAAAGAGTACATAGTTTGAATTATAGTGTTTTGTAAAATATGATAATAATGTTTATTTAAACACAAGAAATCATGTTTATTACCTAGGGGATCCAAAAAGCGTAATTATTGTAAAAACTGCGATAGAACGTTAAACTCCGTGTATTTTACTATTCAAGTCTTTTTAGTAGAGGTTTCATGAAGAGATATATTATTTTATTTAACACAATTAAAACAGGAAGGACAAATATACAGTTAACATTGTTTATCTTACGAGTAAAAAAAGATACTTTATTCCTATGTGTATTAAAAAAACTACCTTGAAACGTTCCTCAAATATGCTTAAAACGTAAAAAAACGCAGGTTATATCAAAACTAGGGCTTTGAAATAGTGCACCACATTAGTAACACCTCAATTAAGCACATTCTCATCCTTTCCCAATTACAAAACGTAATATCATGGACCTTCATATCTCTAGATGACGTAATTTTCCCACTTTAACCTTCCCGACCCTCAAACAATTATTTCCGGCAACAAATTAAAGTGGCAAACGTTAACGTCAACGCAGTTCCCTCTGAGCTTTAACCTTTTGCTACTTTCTGCAAACCTTAAATTTTAAAAGGCACATTAAAGTTACATTTTATTTTAAATCATTTGAAGGTACTTTCCAAAATCACATATTTTTCTACACGGTGTGTATTTTTCACTTACATCCACTTCATGTTTAAAGAATGCTCAATTCTTACCTAGACACCGAGTATTTACTTTAAAAATTTGGGGGGCAAAACTAAATAAGCTTATTAAAATACAAATGTTATTAAGTAGTGTGTTCAAGATAGGGGTCGATTTTATTTTTTTTAGCTTCAACCATTGATAAATTACATCATATACTCTTGTTAAGTATTATTACATATCACTCGTTGGCCGTTAAGTATTTTACTTTACACCATGGATTAAAAAAATAAGTCCGACCGACTCATGATATCGAATAGTTCTATTCCAGGATCCAAGAGCGCAAACAGTAAAAATAAGTATATTTACCTCAAATGTTTTCTAGTATGTTTTTATTCGTTTGTGAAAGGGTATAGAATGTTTTTGTTTAGGAATCGGATTTTGCTTGTTGTTAAACCTGAGGTAAATATATTAGGTCATCCTTAGGGTTTATTTTACAATATCAAGTATATAAGGCCATAAATTTGATATTAAAAGTAGGGTACAGTTTCTATTAAATTTTTTTATCGTTATTTAAAGGCTCTCAGTCAGCTAACAGGTAGGCTAAACCCATATAAAGTAATGGTTTTTGTAATAAGTTGAGCTATAGGTTACAAAAACTCAAAAAGATACACCGAAACAATTATTTATTCAATAAACCAATATACACAATATACATTACAAAACTGGAAATCCATAAGAAAATACCATCGTTACTGTACAATATCATGGGATAATGTTTTCCACAACGTAACAAAACTATAGTGATGTTTTTAAATATTGTTCTCTTATAGGATTACAGGCTGTGACATACCTGTGATTAAGCTTTGATGCTTCTAAAATTAGCATGGTTACTTCACGTAACCATACGATACTAAGTCACCCATCAGTGTTTGAAGGGGGGGTGTATAAAAATGCTAATTGAATCCATGTTTGGTTGAGTTTTCCTTCTAGGTTCAAAATCGACCAATTAAAAAAAACTTTCACGCCGCTGGCAATAATTTCCTTCTTCTTTAAATTCTTAAAGGAACTTGGGAAAATGTTAGATATTTCTTCAATACGTTTCTGTGATCAGAGATGGAATTAGTGAGATTCCGACGGATCAGACCTGGTCTAGCTTGTACTACTCTTGTACGCCCACGAAGTAGTAAAGATGTGGAGAAGACGATGTTTCCAAACCCCAATGATCCAGCTGTGCAAGCGACTTGACAAGAATGGCCAACCAGATTAGACAGAGTTAGCCTTGGCGTGACGTCATACACTGAGGTCTTCACGTTTGACGAGACCTACGGCACTGGCGAAGTGCCTTCCCCTCGTGACCACCTGTGTACGAATACATTATTATAGATTTATATAAACCCGAAATTCATGGTAGTTATATGACTAATAGTTTTAGAGAGACAGAAATAAAACAAAACCTTTTTTCCACAAAGCAAGCTGTGTTTGAACGTTATTCTTTTGCAGATTATATCCTTTGATTTTTATTATATAGCGACTGTTTAAATATAAAGTTTTATAATGTATAAATAAAATATTTTGCTGCAGGCACTTACTGTACCTGCAAGAATTGTGTATATATAACACATCCAAATACAAAATTAAGTGTAATCATCATCCTCCCTGCTCACCTCATTCTGTAGTAGTGAGAAGGACATGGCGATGATGACCAGTCCCAGGACCAGGTAGGTACAACAAGCCCCAGTCTGCCACGCTCCGTCTTGAAGCCTCACTGGGGCCATGTCACCGAACCCGATGGTACTCAGTGCGACAAAGCAGAAATAAGCTCCGTCCAGGAAACTCCACGACTCCCAGGAAGCGAAGGCAAACGCTCCCAGGCCGAAGTAGAGCCCGAGTAGCAGTAGGACCACTACTGGAGGAACTCTCTGAGGAGTTGTCTTCCTCAGGGGAGGAGTCTTGCGTGGAGGCGGGGTTGGGGCTCGTCGAGACTCTCCAGGGGCCCGCCAAATAAGAGGCACTCTTGAGGGTGTGTCATGCTGAGACGGCCTTGAGAAAAATAAAATCGAACTTTATAACGTTAAATTTTGCAGTCAAATAAAGGCATTGCATAGGCTTACATTTTTTTTGGCATGGTAAAAAATATCTTTAGTATAGAAGGCTTCGTATCAAGTACTTCTAATATTTAAAATATGTTCATCCATTATCTGACTGGAAAACGCAACCACCTAGTGCAGTTGATTTGATAAAAACTCCTTTGGCCTCAAATTCCTCTTACTATTTTAGTATTTCTCCAAATACACCAAATACATCATGCAAGATAAACTCATATTGCGTCTAATATATGTTTTTTTTATATAATCTATTTTATGAAATTCCACCCTTGGCTTTACTGGGATAACGCTAGTGCTAACTAATCTAAGTAAAATAATAGTATGTGTGGCATGAGCCTATATACGGGGTGACAAAAAAAAAAACAGGGACACAATTTTAAAATGTTATTTATCAGCTGGTATAACAGCTGGATAGTTCATTGTTGCGGCAAATGAATGTTTATTTGATGTCATTGGTGTATAGTTGCCATGGATCATCAATAGTTACCGCAACATCGAATAGAGACCTTTTTCTAGAGTCAGTTTCAGAAATTTTTACTCGTCGTTAGTTTCGTGTTTACTTCAACATCGGTCGTCATGGTGCAACCCCAGACCGAAAAACTATTCAAAGATGGGTAAGTAATTTCTGGAACATGGCTTCTGCACTCAAAATCAAACCTAGTGGGAGACCTCGGACTGTTCGAATGCCGGGAAACGTTGAAATGGTTCGTGTGAGTGTGCTGCGTAGTCCTAAGCGATCAGCTCGAAGACAGTCAATAGCTTTCCAATTTTCGAAATTATCCGTTTGCAGAATATTGTATTTAGATTGAAATTTCCATCCCTATAATATAGTAATGACACAAAAGAGAGGGATTTTGTGCATGCCAAACCATGTGTAAATGACTATTGCAGCTTGTGGAATCGGAGAATCTTCTTCAAGTCTTCATTATGTCAGATGAGGCTCATTTTGAACTCTTCGGTAAAGTTAATATGTAGAATTTCCGGTATTGGTCTGACGAAAATCCCAGAGAAATTCATGAACGACCACTTCATCCTAAAAGAGTTACTGTTTGGTGCGCAGTTGCCCGGTTTTGGATTATTGGTCCACATTTTTTGAGAACGATTTAAACAAATGTAGCCTAAACGATACATGCCACACATCAGATGATTCGATGTCCGTTTTACAACAACTATTCCCGGGACATTTGATTTCCCGGTTTGCTGATGTTTCATGGTCCGCGCGATCCCCGGACTTGACCTCTTGTGACTGTTGGCTGTGGGGTTATCTGAAGAGTTAAGTCTTTGTTTCTAAGCCCCACAACATTGTCGAACTGGAGCAGTGCATAAGGAACAATATCACTGCGATTCCTCAATGTTGCGAAGGATTGCTGCAAGGATGCAGAAAAGATGGGAGGCATGTGTGGACGTAGAGGGACGACGCCTGAGGGAAATCATCTTCCATAAGTAAAAAAGGTAATACAGTGCAAATATTTTGGTGTGATTTTTAACATTAAATTACGTTTAGTTATCGTGTGGTTCTTGAGCCAGGTCCACATGCAACAGTGTTTGGAGGTTATCGCACACTATTTACAGGTGTTTTGCATCAGGGCACCTCACCATGGCATATACTGTATGTATATATAAAAAACAGCATTATTACTCATATCTTTGTTTTGGCGAGTGGGTGGTCACGTAGTTTTTTTCAGTACCGTGTATTCGCGCAGTGGGTTCTATTTTGATTTGTTCGTGGCTTGCCCCTATGGAAAAAACTAACGGTACGTCCAGAGTACGCGCCGATTCAGATTCAGATTTTCGGCGGCAGGAATGGCACATGCATTTAAATGGAAGTGGTCATAGTGGCCGCCGGTTTCTGAGCCGGTGCGCAGGCACCTGCTTACCGGAATGAATATACCATTTTTCACTGGCTGTAACTTCACAACAGATTCAGACGCTATTATTTTACACGTTAATTTCTCATCTGACAATTTCATAACAACAACTGACTTGTTTCTTTGCTATTCGAGTCAGTACCCGTGGCGTATGTTTTGATTCTACTGTGGTCACCAACAAAATATCTGACTCAGATTAACCAAGCACCAAAAATCTGATGCTGAATCTGAATCGGCGTGCACTCTGGACGTACCGTAAAGCTGTATTTCCTATAAAAAAATGTGGTTCGATAGTAGAGAAAGGGATTTAATTATACAGGGTGAGTTTTAATTGTCCCCCCCCCCAACTTTTTTCTACATTTTTTCAAATATCAATGCCAGACCACTTCCAAACATTGTTGGGTAGTAAGTACTTCATTTTGACAAGGTGGTCATTTCCGGCCGCCATCTTGGATCCGCCATATTGGATGCAAAATATTTTTTTCAAATGTAAAAGTGGGGTTGTGACCCATTATTTCGAACTAGATTTTTACCCTGATTACAATGCCGTAAACCGTTTTTAAAAATCTTGATTCATTCTAAAGTTATGAGGCCTTTTTAAAACTTAATTTTTAGCCCATTTTAACATTGTGCTTGTACAAACTAAGACCATAATCTCAAAATAGTGCTAGATAAAGATAAGTATACACTACCAGTCATTGCCAACCTATTTCCACTTGGTTATGAATGATGTATTTTTTCGGCCGCCATCTTGGATACGCCATTTTGAAATGTTATAAATTATTTTAAATATAAAAGGGGTGTTGTGACCCATCATTTCGGATTACTTTTTTAAGCTGAACTCAATTCCATGCTCCATTTTTTATTTTCATATTTTGATTTTGAAATATTAACATTTTTAACAAAGATATTGCAATGTTTCATAAATAAAACTTGATAACAAATAATGGATTGCGGCATTGAGTTTAGCTTAAAAAAGTAGTTCAAAATGATGGGTCACAACACACCCTTCATATTTAAAATAATTTATCCCATTTCAAAATGGCGGATTCAAGATGGCGGCCGAAAAAAATCATCAGTCATAACCAAGTGAAAATAGGTCGACAATGACTGGTAGTGTATACTTATCATTATCTAGCCTTGAGATTATGGTCTTAGTTTGTACAAGCACAATGTTAAAATGGGCTAAAAATTTAGTTTTAAAAAGGCCTCATAACTTTAGAATGAATCAAGATTTTTAAAAACGGTTTGCGGCATTGTAATCAGGGTAAAAATCTAGTTCCAAATAATGGGTCACAATCCCACCTTTACATTTGAAAAAAATATTTTGCATCCAATATGGCGGATCCAAGATGGCGGCCGGAAATGTCCACCTTGTCAAAATGAAGTACTTCCTACCCAACAATGTTTGGAAGTGGTCTGGGATTGATATTTGAAACAATGTAGAAAAAGGTTGGGGGGGGACAATTAAAACTCACCCTGTATATGTGATTGAGTGTTGTGACAATAAGTGTAAAGGCAAAAGGTCCAATAGACCTTTGCCAATAGACAAAGTGCCAATAGGAAAAGTCTAAAATTATGTACTAAAATTGTGTGGAAAGAAGTTGTAAAAATTCTACGTTTTGGGGTTAGAAATGGGAAAAATTAATTTCTTTCCCATAAAACAACTCAAAATTCCGTTTCCAAAGTCCGATCAAGCTAATTCCTGAACTCATTCGAATAAACGTAGTTTTATTTCTTTAAACCAAATTTCATTAAAATTATACTAATTTCACCCGAGTGTTGTGTAACCTGACACACACGCACACATACAGGGTGTTGAAAATGTCTGGAACCAACATTATATCTGGTGAGTGGTTAAAGAAAAACAACTGATATTTTGTATACGGATATACTATGGTTTTACCTATCTTTTGGTGCCTTATGAAATTTTTTACCACTTATAGGGGATGTCCCGTAGAGGATGCAGTAAAAAGTTTTAATGGAAGCCTATGGTAAATGATACATCATTTTAAAGGTCATTTTTTTCTGAGTAAGGAGCCACAAGTTTCATCTCAAAAGGACCATCCTAGCAAAAATGGCGACGGTTTGAAATTTAAAAACCCACTTATAGGGAACGTCCTGTGGAGGATGCAGTAAAAAGTTTTAAAGGAAGCCTATGGTAAATGATACATCATTTTAAAGGTCATTTTTTTCTGAGTAAGGAGCCACAAGTTTCATCTCAAAAGGACCACCCTAGCAAAAATGGCGACTGTTTGAAATTTAAAATTCAATTATTTTCAAAAACTTCAAACAGTCACCATTTTCGCTAGGGTGGTCCTTTTGAGATGAAACTTGTGGCTCCTTACTCAGAAAAAAATGGCCTTTTAAATGATGTATCATTTACCATAGGCTTCCATTAAAACTTTTTACTGCATCCTCCACAGGACGTTCCCTATAAGTGGTAAAAAATGTCATAAGGCACCAAAAGATAGGTAAAACGATAGTATATCCGTACACAAAATATCAGTTGTATTTCTTTAACCACTCACCAGATATAATGCTGGTTCCAGACATTTTCAACACCCTGTATATAAATAAATGAATTTAAACGAATGAGAAGTACTTTGGGGACATCAAAAACTATAGTGGTCCCGTGTATAGGTCTTACCATGAAAACTACACCAGTAGCTCATTCTACTGTATATATAGGTAATTCGATTATACTTTTTGAAATCATTATACCTAATAACAACCTAGTTTTCCCCCGTACAAATACAAATATTTTGCAATAGTTATTCCCAACAGAGAATAAATTACTCTATTTACTGAAACGGTGGTAAGTTGTTAATAAACGACAAGTCAACTTTATTTAAACAAATTATTACTGGCCGGTTGAATTTAGTGTGTTTGGATCAATTAATCTGTAGGATCTATATCCCAAAGGATGTCCAACCTGATAAAATGCATTGCTCCTTAGCTTGATAAAATGGAATATTTAAAAATTATGTCAACCTATTGTCAAATTCATCTACCGTAATATATACAAGTAATGTGTGAAATTTATTTTGCAAGAAGCCATTTTAGTATTGTTGTAACATATACGGCTGTTAGGTAAACCGGGGTTTATAGTGGAAGTACATTGTTACTAAGCCATAGAAAGAGTGCCTACATTAGTGACCAACAACTGCTCTCATCGAGTTTGACACCAGAGCTACAAGTGGCGGACGTCAAACAAAACCACAGGGTTGAAGTCCTGAGTGAAACTCTATAATGGCCATAGAGGGTTTAAATAGTTTAAAACTATCTTCAAAGTCTACTGCTATATATTTTTAGTCTACCTATCTTGTGACATATGAAATTATGTATAATTTAATGTTTGTACTTTATGAACTTCAATATTGTTATATTAATAATTGGTAAACACAGTTTGTGAGAACCCACCTACATCTCAAAGATATTATGAGACAGAACCTACCTAACGTTGTTTAAGCAATGTTATATATGTAAGCTAAAGTGTATCACCATTGCGTTTTAGCGAATACTCTAAGTAGCTATTACCGTAGGTGGCACGGTAAGACCTAGGCCCGGGCCGGTTTACTTTTTCATTTTGATGTCCCCAAAGGCTAAAAACGCCATTCGTTCAAAATGTAATATATTAATAACTAATATGTAAAGGAACATATATACCCTTTTTTCTACTTTTTTATTTAATAATATTACACAGCATGTTTCGTCTATAATGACATCTTCAAGTGTTAACAAAATTCCAAACTATTCCAAACAAAATTGTTTGGAATATTGTTTATTGGAGATTAGCTTAGTCTCCAGGTTTGCTGCGGTGGGGGCATTTGTATATTAATGTTTTAAATAGGTTTTTTTTATGTTTATAAAGGTTGATAAAAGTCTTCTTTCTTTTTAAGATGTTTAAATTATCCGCAATTGCTATAGTAAATCCACCAAATAATATTCCTGATTAGACCTCTCACCTTTTAGCGTGTTCCGGGTCGTCATCGTCCGACTCCCTCTCGTGAGGCTGGTGTTTCCTCAGCAGCTGTCTTGCCTCTGGTGTGAGGGAGCAAACAGGCTTGCCGTTGTCTGTCGCCACAGCCACTAGGGTCCCTCTAGCCTCGGCCTTGTGGTGGCGAGCTGGCCGACTACTTGCTACAAACAAGTAGTTGAAGCGTGTTGATCATTTTACTGTGGGGGGGTGTCCTTTGTGGGAGATGTAGATCGTGTCAAACACCATAGCGAGTGGAATTACGCATGAGGACAAGTAGAACTCCTTTTCTACTGCCTTCGCTAGTTATTTTGTACCGTGACCAGGCAATTGAATGCCATTGGTTTAGTTGAATACTACTATTGTAGCGTTAAGAGCCTTTCTCTCATCTCTTCCACACGCCATTTTCATTGAAACGGTCCATCGCCATGATGTGTTTAGAAATGATTTTATGACTAGGTTAAGACCTTTATAAAAACACTTTTCCTAATGACTTCGCGTACATTTATGTGCAATATTTTCAGAACAGGTATGCCTAAGGCCCCGTTTATGCACCAAGAGCGGGAGCGCGGCGGTAGCGGGCCCGCTCCCGCTGTGAATGTGGCTGTTTATGCACGAAGAGCGATAGCGGTAGCGGTTGGTTAAAGGAGAATGGAAGGGGGACACAGTCTTGCCAACTCAAACTCTGCCAAATAATTAACACAACTATTTGTCCTAAGTGCACGTGCGCGTGGGTCAAGTTGGCAACCCTGGCTTCAGCCGCTCCCGCTCCCGCCGTGCATAAAGAGTCCCATTTGACTCAATGTAGTTGAAAACCGCTCTATCCCAAGCAACCGCTGCGATTTCTAACTACACAGCTGGCGAATTAGAAACCGCAGCTGGAGGTCAACCGCTATCGCTATCGCTCTCTTGGTGCATAAACAGCCCCTTTTAACTCAATGGTGTTAGAAATCGCTACCGGTGTCGCTACCGCTCCCGCTCTTGGTGCATGAACGGTGCTTAACGTTGTAATTAGTCCTGAAATTTGCAACATCCAACATCTACACAGATCTACACCCGGTACTAACTGATTTATGTTTTCATTTTGATGTGCCCAGAGGAGAAAACTCTATTCGTTCATATGCTTTTAAATGTATATAGGCCTAACTTGAGCTATTTTGATGTGATTCTGATGAAATTTGACATGCATATGAAGAGCTTGATTATTTCGCGAACAACCAAGATCGGGTAATGGGAATGGGGCGTTCAAGCTTATGAAAAACTGTTTGGTTTTCAAACTGTTAAATGTTTTACGGTTACATTATTGTACAATTTAAAGGTTACAAAGAAAAATCATAATAAAAACTGTATATTTGACATCCCTATGTAATTTTCAACGTAAAATTAAAAGGAAAACGGTTCCCCAGTTTGTTAAATTTATTTATTTAATTCTATTCCGTTAACATTTTATCAAAAACCTATTCCTCCATTCCCCAAAGCAGCAGATGATGGTACTCACTAAAGGGGAGTAAATATGACTTGTATATGGGAATACTTTAATCAGACAAATAAAGAATATTGTTTTCAAAAAGTAAATACCCTGCCGAAGCAAACCTGCAGACTGAGCGAATTCCTAATTGTCTGATTAGATTTTCATTTAAATATATATATAAATAAAATTAGGTTTAATGAGTAACTAGTTTTGCTGCTACAGGGAGGGTAAAAAGTGGGTTTTTTTGTAAAATATAATAGCTTAGTGTAAAATAAATAAATTTGCCAAGTTTGATCAAAATACATCAATAAAAAACCAAACATTAAAATTTACTTTAATTTAATTTTTTTTTGTTTCCTTAACCAATAATTGTAAGAAAAACACTACAATTTACAATTTTTTTTGTTTTTTTTTAAGTTCTACAAAATGGTTTGGAAAGAAGTTGAAAAATGTTATGTTTTTAGGGTCAACAATTGGAAAAACCAATGTTTACCCCCGTTACCATGGTCCGATCTTGCTGTTTCTTCAACTCACTTAAGTTTATCCCACCATACACCTTCAAGCCAAATTTAATAAAAACCAGACAAATATATATATAAATTTGAAGAAATAGTGTTTTTTGACCTCTAGGGAAATCAAAATGAAAAAGTAAATCAGTCCAAGGAGTAAGTCGACGGTAATATTAGACTTCCCTATAGGTAAATTCACTAAAAGATAATTTAGCCTTTAATCCTGATAAAATGAACTATGGAAAGAGTAGGTATTACATTTTTATACATCCTAAGCTATAAACAACATATTTTTGATTCCTATTTGGGCCTTAGTTATAAACATGTTTTTGTAATTAAATATAAAACAAAGAAAGGGTTCCTAATCTACATTATCATAAAACTCAAGATAAAATATGATTAGTCTTGTGTTGCAAATAGTTTACGATATATATTCATACTTCAGTGTTATTTAGCATAGAATACAAAGTCAATTTAAATCTCAAACTTGTAAAGTTATATCAAGGAAGGTAAAGTGTTATCAATCTTTACTCTCAAGGAAAGAACAATAAAGTAGGATTTCCCAGGTTGGTGTTCGCTCCTTCATAAGTAGCGAAGTTGAGAGGTGAAATGTCTAACAAGAACGTAAGGCTGTAATTCCAGTTTCAAAGACAATAAAAAGGTATTTTGTACTTTATTGCGTCTGTGTATAACTTGTTAGACCTTACCTTTGGTACGTGTATCATTGTTAATACACCTTTCGTAAAGTCATTTTGTATTTTATAACCAATTTCTTCCAAGATGATAAATTATTAAAAAATTCAAGATTTTCTTATACTCGTTTATTTGGGATCAGATATTATTAGTCTACATATTTTACTATTAGGCCTCAATCAAGAATTACCATACAACGCTTTTACTTTTTATTTATTAATCAAACTACTATGTAAATGGAGACAATTTAGAATAATAGTATTACTAAATCTCTCACAACTGAATAATCTATATATTTAAGACGCTACTTGTTTTTTCTTGTGGCAACTTATTTGAGAGAAGGGCGTAGAAATTGGTAGGGGTGTCTAAATAAAGGTCTTGGTCTGTAGATGAGCCATCAAAGAAGAAAATGGGTTATTTTCCTTGAGACGCTGCCCCAGCGGCCTTCAAAATTCCCTTCCCATGTTGTTCTTAAGGAGGAAAAGTGGGGGGTTTGTAACAACTTATAGTATAAATATGAAATATCTCACTATTTCATATATCTTAGGTCTGAAACATATTCCAGAGTTGACAATGGATGAAACTACGTAATGGTTTTAGAAGTACTAAGTTCAAATTTTGTTTGGTATTTTAAATTTTAGACAAGCACTAATAGAATATGTAGAAGCGAGCTCAATTAATTTTCCTTAATAATTAATAAGATCACCAGTCTTATTCCACTCTTCTTCTAGTTTTTCCTAAAATAACCTAATCAACATAAGTATTATCTGTTAAATGTTTTAAATTGTGTTCACGCATTTTGTTTAAGCCACCATGACATAGTTTTACTAACTGAATCAAACATTATAACTACCTACCCTTGCTGTTCCTTTGTACAGGGGCGGAACAGCACAGACGTGAGTAGCCAATCTGGAAGGTGTGGGCTAACGTCGTTCCCAGGTTTGACAGACACACAAGCATCAGAGGCACTCCAACTAAGGCATACACCATAGTCACGACCTTCCCCTCGGCTGTCCGTGGGGCTATGTTGCCGTAACCTAGGAGAAAATATGTGTTTATCAAGTACGTCAGTTACTAACACTAAGGCATACACCATAGTCACGACTTTCTCCTCGGCTGTCCGGGGAGCTATGTTGCCGTAACCTAGGAGAAAATATGCGTTTATCAAGTACGTCAGTTACTAACACTAAGGCATACACCATAGTCACGACTTTCCCTTCGGCTGTCCGTGGGACTATGTTGCCGTAACCTAGGAGAAAATATGTGTTTAATAAGTACGTCAGTTACTAACACTAAGGCATACACCATAGTCACGACTTTCCTCTCGGCTGTCCGTGGGGCTATGTTGCCGTAACCTAGGAGAAAATATGCATTTATCAAGTACGTCAGTTACTAGCACTAAGGAATACACCATAGTCACGACTTTCCCCTTGGCTGTCCGGGGGGCTATGTTGCCGTAACCTATGCTATATTCACCCACACACAAGGATTTGCCGATAGGATAGCTGGAGCTGTTGCTGCTATGGAGTATGAGCGTCCAAGGAGTGCACATGATGTACAAACTCCCCCACCAGGCATTGAATCTCTATCGGGAAACGTCTCTCCACCAACACAAGACAATGTACCCTAGACCAATCTAAAGAATGTCTTAGCATTTTAACTATTAACATGCAGTCGCTACGTAATAAACTATATGAACTGGAGATTATTTTAAATGAAAACCCAACTGATGTTATCTGTGTAAATGAACATTGGCTGCTGAAAGACGATATTTCACTGTATGTACCTGAAGGTTATATCTTAGCTTCCCTCTACTGTAGACTTTCTCATTTTGGGGGTTCTTCTATCTTGGTGTAAAATGATACATTGTTTGAGCAACTAGACATTACCAAGTATTGCCTCAGTTCCACCTGTGAAGCTTCTGCGGTTAGGCTAACAAGCTAAATGTTATAATATTATGTTTATATCGTCCCCATGTGTCTAACTTTAAGAGTTTTATTGCCAATTAAGATAAATTATTAACTGATCTCACTGCTAGCCCTTTAGCCTTTTAGATATGTAATTCTTGCAGGTGACCTGAATGTTGATATTCTCAAATCCAATGGCAATGAAACCTTAGAATTAAGTTATATCTTAAGATATTTTTATTTATGAAGAATTCACCAGGTTCAATTAATGTCTTGATGTTGTAGCCTCTAATGTCATGTCTGACCAGGTGGAGGTTAGCTTGCTGGAACTGTATATTCTATCTGACCATGCAGGTGTATGGACTACCTTTAGTCTCGGCACTGACCTGAGTATAAACAATTTAAATAAACGGTATCAGCATTCTGAAACATACTATTTCCCATAAGTTTGTCAACAACCTTTATCATGTGTAAGCGGTGAGAGTAAATATACGGAAATGGGATTTGAACAATTTTGTTCAGAATTTAAAGGACTATAACATACTAAATTTTTATCAAAATTCGAGCCAATTTTGGGAAAATCCGATTTTTCCGTTATTTTATGGGGTTTTTATGGGAAAATAACATAATTTACAATAACTTTTAAACCGTAATTTTTACAGAAATGGGATTTGTACCCTTTTGTTCAGAATATAAAGGACTATAACATAATTTTTTTTTTCAAAATCGTTCGGGCCGTTTTTGGGAAAATCCTATTTTCCGGTTTTTTATGGGAAAATCCCCATTAAAAATCAGAATTTTTAAAAATGAAGAAACACCTGGAGATACCATGGATTAGAACCTACATACTACATTTCATCGAAATCGGACCACAGGTGTAGTCCCTAGCTCTGTACACATCCACACACACACACACACACACACACACACGCACACACACACACACACACACACCGACAGACATCACTTCGAAAACCACTTTTTTGGGTCCAGGGGGGCCCAAAACAAATATATCCACTCAAAACTCAAACTCGAACATTTTGACGAAAACAATACTTTCTCCATATACTATGGTATAGGGGGAAAACGTAAAAAATCAGGTGAGAATAAAATTAAAAAATTCCGATTTCTTTCTGAGGGTAAAATTAACTGTCTCAAGCAATTTCTGGTGGATAATGGGTGGGGAAGAGTATACACCATTGAAGTTAATAGCTCAGTGAATGTATTTTTAAATATTTTCTCTTTTTATTTAAATAAGTTGTCCTAAGATCTCTGTTAGTCCTAAGAGCAAGGTTAAGGTTATAAACTGGTTTACTCCTGAGTTGATTAATATGCGTAGACTCCTTCTGCTTATGAATGACAGATGGAAGATTTCTAAAGGTTTGTAGGATAAATTGAATCTTAAAAAGTTTATAAACCAGTACAAAAAAGAGATTACCAAGGCCAACATTGCAGCTAACAGCAAGTTTATAGGCCTACCTAGTTCCGGAAACCAGAGTAAAGCTGCTTGGGCAGTCACTAAAAAAGAAGGGAACTTTGAAATAAACTCAAATGTTACGATTCCTATTACATCTAAGCAATTTAATTAATATTTTGTTAATGTACCTAGTCATATTTCTACAGAGCAAAACAATAGCCTTGATGTGAGTACAAATTCTTCTGTCCATTCCTATAACAACACTAGGACAAGAGACCACATAGCTAGGCCTAGTATTAGATTGCAAAAATATTTCGATATTCATAGTTACCATCAGATTTTATTTTACAACAAATTGCCTTTAGATATAAAAATGTTACCATTTACGAAAAGTTTTACCAATGTTTGTAAGTTGCTTAAAGATAAGGCATTTTATTCGACTGAGGAATTTTTAAAACTTGTATTTTAATGTTGATTTACTTTGACTTTTTATTTATAAAAAAGGATATGTTGACGAAGCCTATTGTAACTGTGGTATCTAACGGCAAATATATTCTTGATTCACACACACAACTACATTATTCTCAAGTTTACGCCATATACGCCAGTTGCTTTGCTACCTATTTTTATAGCAGCCAATTTTAATACTCCAACTACACAAACACAAAGTCTAACTATGTAGTTAGAATTACTATGTAGAAGCTATAATAGTTTCTATTCTAGCTCAACATGCATAAACAGGTTATAATTTGCACTATTAGTTCCCCTTACTTTTTATGGTTATGTTAGAACCCCCCCCCCCCCCACATCATGTTTCCCGTATGAGTAATAATAGTAAAACTACGAGTTCTATCAAACTACAGCAGTAATATTAGATACTCTACCCACCTATGGTCGTAATTATAGTTACACTGTAGAGCACTGCCCCACTGAAAGTCCAGTGGAGCTCTCTTTCTCTCAGCTCCATTCCGCTATTTTTTGTTGCTTCGACGACACTTCGCTCGAATTTCCGCAGCTGCGCGTCGACAAGGTGAGTCCAGTTCTGCTCGTACAAGACATTTAGACGCTCTTGAACAGAAATTTGAGCATTCCAACAACTTTTCAATATAACCATATTTCTTTATTTGTATTTGTTGAGTTGGTTACCTTAATTCACTATGACACATGTAAAGAGATTTAACTTTGAAACTGCATTTCATACTCGTTTAATGTTTTCCATAAAAGTAATAATAAAAAAAAACCTTTGTAGTGGTTTATCAAGAGAAAAGGATAAGATTATTTTAGGTCCAGTCAATTGATTTTCTCAGTGTTTAATTCAGTAGCGACATAACAGGCGATTGTTCTTGTTGCCTTCGAGTAGTGATGTAATACGAGAACGTATCAAAGACATTCCAGCTAGGCTTCCGTAGCCACGTACTATCCAATATCAATAATTGCTCTAAGACTGCCCGATATCCGAAATCTCTTTGACACTATGTTGTGTTCTATCTGTGCTTGTAAACTCACATTCAACTAAACGTTTGTCTACGTTGTCTATAAACTGGCTCACAACTATGCAAGCCTACACCGATTTCACTCAAGTAAACAATTGTATATTTAAGACAAATCAGTTGTCAAAGATCCATCAATGTCCTAAATCCACACAATGTTTACGTTAGAAGATACAACCTATCATAACTTAGCCTATGTTTGCCTAATTTATAACACCAGTTTATACACCAGTAGGTTTGCAGACTCTCTTCCCAAAACGTGCTTCTAATTTAACTCTAAGAAATGTGTTCCATCCTTAATATGCCATCACAACTTAGTCTGACTAAAGATATCCTGTAAAGTTTTATCTCATAAAGACAATTTATTTGAGAGTGGGCTTTACCCTACATAAACTTTCAACATTCCTTCAAAAACCCTAATAATTTAATAGGGGTTTAAATAAGCCTTCTATGACTGACAACTATAACCTATCCAAGCTACCAGCCATACCAGAATGAACCTAAAAAATATACCTTTAATACCCCTAGCTCGACTTAACCGAACCTAATTTACGCTACCTGTTATGAGCCAGAGTTCTCTAAGACACTCGTCCCTGAAATGACGGACGGCGGCTCTCTGTCTAAACTCGTGACCTGACTCCAACCTCTGGAAGACCACACCTCCGAGGAGGACGTAGCCGAGGACGAGCACCGTGAGGGCGAGGTTCTGGACAAGGAGGGTGGAGAGGCAGCGCGTGGGGACGCCGTGGACCCCTCCAGAGGGCATGGACGTCCTCCCGCAGCCACCCTATCCTGCATATATAGAACATGTTAATTAGAATATATTCTAAGCCTTAACCTATGCTTTCTTATGAAAGCTGTTCTATGGCTACGACGGGTCTGGGCCCATGCTGGAGTTGGGGTTCCCTTGGCAATACTAGTACCAGGCTAGCTGTGAGGATGTGTAGTTATATCAAGGTTTAAACATTTTGACCTTTGCCTAAAGATGCAAAAAAGTTGATGCCTAAAAAGTCAAAGATCGATTTGTACAGAGCTGTTAAGTTAATCAAAAGAGTGGATGATTTTACTCAATTACGAGATTTAAAGTAATTCAATGATGTTGTATTATTTTATAGAATTAACTTATTCGTTAATTTAAAAACTAAAAACTCTGCAGCTTATAATTTTTCTACCTTTGCTATAAGCATAAATTCATAGAACTATTATTGAGTGGAGCGAGCGAAACTCTTATTCGTCGACTTATGTGCTTTCGTCATAACGCAAACTCCTCCTAGACGGCTGAAGCGATTATTTTAAAGTTTTGCATGGTGATTAAGACCATATTGATGAGTGCCAACATCTATATGGAGATAAAAAATTCTCCCAGGAATCCACCCCATGGGGTCTTAAATTTCTAATGTAATTCTTATGGAAGCAGTATTTGACACATTATATATACAAAGGAATATCATTAGCTATTGACATGCAGTTCATAAGAAAACAGCTCATAGAATTATTGTTAATCAAGGATATTAAAACAGTAACGGTATGGATCATAAACATTAAAAAATTACGTCATTTTCTCTTTACTACTAAGATCATTAAAGTCGCCAGAATGTGGTGTAGGTGGTTTTTGAAAGTTCCATTTAAATAATAATACAATCATATTTACTTTCGAGCTAGTGACTTAATTTGTTTTTGTTTATGATCAATACCGTTTATGTTCTAATATTCGTGCTGTTTCTCATCTTGTTATGTATTATTTTAGTCCGTTAATTCTTGGTTTTAATTTGAACATGATTTACTATTTATTACGTTACACCGGAACAAGTTAATTATTGCGTGTTTGTGGCAATGTTCAATTTCTTTTATCTTACAAACTAAACATGTTTAGTGCTGTAGAAGAAAATTTAAGTTCCTTGCCTCACATTGTGCGTCATAAGAATAAAATACAATTTCATACACCTGCTCCAGACTTACTTGGGAAAAAATTATTTGATTTTTTTATATGAGTATATATTAGGGATAAATTGATTCGAATAAAAATCTAGTAAGATTTAAATTTAACAGAACCACGTGTTTTAATATAAACAATATTATTTATCATTAACTAATGGTTAAGATGATTTGTTTGAAATTCCCCAAGCTTACTTGGGAAAGGTATATTTGATTGTTTCATTTTTAGTAGCCCTCATATTAGCGATGTGTTGGTGTAAATGAAAGCTAAATGATAAAGTCACGTTCACGTTAAATATCAGTCGGACGGGGTTGGATGACATGTTTTAACATAGACAAAGTTGTCGGTTTACATATCAAACAGAGAATTCCTAAAAAAATAGTATTTCAGCTAAAATTTGTGTTTTTGAAATGTTATATGCTTACGTGATAACATTTTATTGGAAGTTTTTATAGTATCCCCATTTATTAGTAATGAATTAGTTTGAATGACACCCATTTTACGTTAGGGCCAGGTTCGATCGATAGATGGGCTATTTTTCAACCCAAAATTTCCAAAGGAATGACTAATGACCATTAAAAAAAGCTCTGTCTGGACACATACACAAGTCGATAATCAACGTGTAATATCAAAGTTTAGTTTGGAATGTTCATATTCATTAAAGTTAATTACCCAATCCGTAAACCTGATATTGTAGAACATGTAAATGCATGCACGTTTATAAACTTACCATCGCACACAGTTAAGCTTTTATGGGATCGGTAAAAAAATTTTAGAAGCCGAAAATACTTCGGTTATGTTCTACGTCATCAGTAGTTTGATCCGTATCACTCTGGGCAATATATGATATATCACCCAGGAGGTTTTAAGCTAAGAATGTAAATCCAGATCTCTGAAAATACATATACTGTAATGAAATCGCTGTATTTTTTTACTTCCTTTTACTGGGAAAAATATGTAACTATTTTAATCATTAAAATAATTATTACTCTAAAAAATTACTGTCTCAGTTTTATGATGTGGTTAAACGGCATATTTCATTCCTAGAGCCAAAAATGAGGCTTTGCTGGCTCGAGATCATTGTATAAGTTCGAGACGAATTCGAGAACTTAAAGCGATCAGCTGCAAACCCCTTTCGGCCCGTGGTACGAATGCTAATTTTCACCTCACTATACAAAATTAAAAATCAGGGTGTTTGTGAACTCTCTCGAAATAATTCACAGAATTATTCCTTGGGTTAATACATGAATATTTTACATTATAAACATGGGTCGCCGGAGCCTCGTTTTCCGTCCGTCTGTCTGTATGTGTTTTTTATAAATAACTTTATAACTCGAGTTTGAATCAAGGTACAAACTTTAAATTTGACAAACTTGTGTATATTAACGTGGTACACAAACATGCAAAATTTCATTTCGATGATTATAGCCGTTTCAAAATGGCGGCCATCTAAAATCTTTGACCTCAAATTACATGAAAACCACTAGAGTTACAAAAAAAGACACAGAAATAACAAAATTTAGGAAATGTAATGTCAAATCAAATGACACCTAGATCTTAAAGATCGAACAACAAACAGCTGAGTTATAATATTATATTTTTTTAAATAATTATTAATTTCTTTACTGGCTTTTAGTTGTTATTGTTTTTTCTTTAAAATCATTTGATTTTAAAATCATCTGAGTACATTACGTAACCTTAAACAGATCTCAATAGTTAAGGTAAAAATAGGACACTTAATACATTTACCATCTAGTAAAAAAACTAAATGTTGTTGTAAGGGCAAACCAGCTGTCTTACATTGTTGTAACAATTTAAAAAGGATCAGATGATTTTAACGAATAGACAATAACAATTAAAATCCAGTAAAGAAATTATTAATTATTAAACAAATTAATAACTCAAAATAATCATGTGATCATCATCTCAAAATCATCTGTCCAACCAGCTGTCTTACATTGTTGTGACAATTTAGAAAGGATCAAATGATTTTTAAGAATAAACAATAACAATTAAAAGCCAGTAAAGAAATTATTAATTATTTAAAAAGTTAATAACTCAGCTATTTCTTGTCCGATCTTTATCATCTAGGGTTCATTTGATTTGGCATAAAACTTCCCACATTTCGTTATTCTTGTGTTTTTTTTTGTTTTTTTTTTTGTAACTATTGCGGTTTTTATGTAATTTGAGGTCAAAGATTTTAGATGGCCGCCATTTTGAAACGGCTATAGTCAACGAAATGAAATTTTGCATGTTTGTGTAACACGTTAAAATACACAAGTATGTCAAATTTAAAGTTTGTACCTCGATTCAAACTCGAGTTATAAAGTTATTTATAAAAAACACATACAGACAGACAGAAAACGAGGCTCCGGCGACCCATGTTTATAATGTAAAATATTAATGTATTAACCCAAGGAATAATCCTGTGAATTTTTTCGAGAGAGTTCACAAACACCCTGTATATACAGGGTGTTCATAAAAGGTGGGGACATATTTTACCTAGTGATTCCTTGGGTCAAAGTAAAGAGAAAATCACGAATAACATTTTTTCCAAAATCGCTTCGTTAACCAGATATCCGCCATTTTGTATTTTTTACATACACTTTTTTATCTTCTAATTTTTTCAACCGATCTTTATGAAACTTGGTATGTATGTTAAGGTAGAAGAGACCCGTGTTCGAAAAATATTTCATCTTGATTCAACCTAAAATTTCAAAATGATGGCCATTTAAAACATTTAAACTTAAATTACTAAAGAATGACTGATTTTATGAAAAAATGTCACGTGCGCTTTTATTTAGCATTTTTAATTACCTATCAAACAATACCAAGTTCATAAAGATCGAATAAGAAATAGCTGAATTATTAAAAATTTTTGTTGTAAAATGGGGCAAACCTGACTAGCTTCTGCCTTATTCTACCCCATTTTACAAATAAAAATTGTAATATTTCAGCTATTTATTATTTGATCTTTTTGAACTTAGTATCGTTTGATAGGTAATTAAAAATGCTAAATAAAAGTGCTCTTGACATTTGTTCATAAAATCAGCTATTCTTTAGTTTTTTAAGTTTAAAAGTTTTAAATGGCCGCCATTTTGAAATTTTAGGTTGAATCAAGATGAAATATTGTTCGAACACGAGTCTCTTCTACCTTAACCTACATACCAAGTTTCATAATGATCGGTTGAAAAAATTAGAAGATAAAAAAGTTTATGTAAAAAATACAAAATGGCGGATATCTGGTTAACGAAGCGATTTTGGAAAAAATGTTATTCGTGATTTTCTCTTTATTTTGATCCAAGGAATCACTAGGCCAAATATGTCCCCACCTTTTAAGAACACCCTGTATATACGTTATAAACGTTTGAAAACGACTAAAAACATATAATAGTGAGGTGAAAAATAATGATGAAGTTTGATGTTGAGGGCCAATGAAATTAAAATAACACCCCGATAACTCCGCTTTATTCTTTGGACGCCTCTCTGAACACCACCTAAACTTCTAACTCCGATACTTCGCTGTACGACATTCACTAATTCCACAGCTTAAGGCTCATGTGCACACTTAAGAAATTATCATAAGATTTTGGTTGTTTTGACTAAATTCTTAACGTTTAGAATGCATATTAAAATATAACACAAACCTTATGGTGATTTTACATACCATGTCTTTAAATTGGCGTACAATTTTATCGCATAAAAATACTGCCATAATTTTTTTAGCTGTACAGTTTTTAAATTACAAAATAGTTTTAAACTCATATAACTGTTTCATTATCAGAGTATTAAAATGTTTAATATGAGCAAGACGTGGCCTGAACATTCCAGGGGGAGTATGAGCAGCATCGAAATG